AGAGGGGTGCTTGGGGTGAACAGGCAGAGACCCGAGCGGGGCTGATCGGTTCGGGGAGCACAGCAGCGGCTGACGAAGGAGGACGGCGGGGCTCTGGCCTGGGACGCACAGGCGCCCACAGATGGACACACCCGTGAAGTCACCCTGCCCGGATGGGCAATGCGCTGGTCCAGAGCTTACCTCCCAGCGTGTGGAGAGAGTCACCCTGCTTTAGCTTGTAGAGTAAACATGAACCTGTCTGCCTATGTGTTCCATGGAGGCCAGCGCTGCCCCAGCGGGGAGAGGAGGTGTGGCAGCCCCCACGGGGCCGGGGCGGGCGGTGGGGTCCGTGTGGCAGGCGACGGAGACCAGGGACGAGGAGGGAGGGGGGTGGCGGCGGGGAAGGCACCGCGGGACACTGTGCTCTCACACCTGATAGCTTCTCCCTGTCCTGGCCCCGCACAGGCTCAGCAAATTCAGCACGAGCAACATGAACCACGCGATGAGGGAGACAGGAGCCTGGGGCGGGGAGGGGGCGGTGGCCAGGAATTCTCCCTGACCGTGAAAGCCTCAGGTTCTGGGGATGTGGCCAAGAGGGCTCATGTCCCTGTATTATCAGCTCTCAGCTGCCCAGCCAGCCCCACGTGAGAAAGCTCTGTGCTGGAGTCAAGGCTAACTTCATCTGCTGAAATCCAACAGACTGAGTCACCAAGCACCTCAGTTGCCCGTTTATTTTAAGCACCTATTCAAAAGCAAAGTGCCTGGAATTGCTCGCGGCCTGGGTGGGTGGTCAGCAGGGTGACGGGAACAAACAGTTCCAAGAAATAGGAACAGAAGAACAGACACAGTGCTCCGGTGGGGGGTCAGCCAGTGGCTTCTGAGCAGAGTCCACTGGGTGGCCAAGAGTGACACAGGACGGCTCCCGGGGCTGACAGACGGCGTGTACCTGCTTGCAAAGACACAGCCCTGCAGGCCTGCTGGGTCAGCGAGCAACACGTCCCGGCCCAGCCGGCGCTGGGGCCCCGGGAGGCCGGGTGGGGGACAGATGTGAAAGGCCTCGACTTCACTCCGCAGGCAATGGGGAGCCACCGATGGAATTTAAGCAGAAGAGAGGCATGGCTCCATGCGTGTCTTAGAACAACAGTCCGTCTGGAAAAAGGCAGTGAGGAAAACAGACTCAGGAGAGGGGAGACAGCTAAGGTGCGTGCGTCTCAGCCCAGCACGTGTAAACTGCACTGTCTACTCTGGTTAACAGTTTGCCCTACAGTCTCAGCGCTAACAGCCGGCTGCCCACGTAGCACTTGCTCATCTCGTCCTCACAACAGCCCTCTGTACAGAGCGGACCAGCAGTTCCTCCTGACTGAGTTACATGAAGACAAATGACTTACGGAAAGCGTCCTGCGGGGACCGCGTGCGGCGCAGCGCCTGGCCCGTGGTACACAGCCCTCAGGAGCGGCCCCGCGCCACCCGCATCAGCTCCCGCGCCTTCCTCCGTGGGGGGTTGCATCAGCCTCGTGCTGCAGGGCACTCGCTCAAGGACCGTTTCTTCCCCACCAGAGACTCCTGGGTGGGAGGAGGGTAGGTGCTGGGGTGATTCTGACTCTTCCAGGATGATTCAAGCCTGGAAGCCTGAGGCTCTGAAAGGCCAGTCTCCAGGGAGCTAGGGTGGATTTTGTGTTCTGTTTTGTTAATTGGACCTGGCCCAGGGGACCCTTTTCTTTCCAGTGCCTACTGCGTTCAAGGCAACGTTTCATCTACTTTCATTAAGTTGTGAGCAAAAATAACACGCACATTATCAAACTAAGAAAATGCCGAGGTTTTTAGACAGCTGAAGACTGAGAGCGAGTAAGACAAACCGCAGCACTGTGAACGCGATGCTTCAACGACGGAAGTGATTGCTGTGCTCTGTGCTAATGAGACACAAATGCCATTCCGTTCCCACCAGTAAGGCAGTGCCTGGGCAGGGCTGCGAGTGCGTCAGAGGCTCCTCTGAGGGCTGGCCAGATGCCCCTGTGTGATGTGGTGGTGGGGGTGGAGATGAGGGGGCGGGGTCGCTGCGGGCCCCAAGCGCACTCTCTCGCTTTAGGACAAGTCAGAGCTGGAGCTCTTTCCCTGCAGAGCCCAGATACCTAGACAGCCTGAAGCCACCTTTTGGGGTCCTCCACTCCCTGTCAAGAAAGGAAGAGCCACGCAAGACTGGGGGGCTGGAGAGGAAACCCCACATTCTCCAACTCCCCCCCCCCAGGACTTGCGCATTCTTCCCGCACCTCTTCCAACTCTTGGATCTAGACACTGCAGGGTGAACGCAGGAGGGCCGGGGAGCGCTCCATGGGGCGCTGGGACAGGGCACCCAGCTGCCCTGGGTGGGCCGGGGCCTCTCTGCAGCGTGGTGTGGGCAGGACGCCCTCCTCCCTCAGCTGCTCTTCCGTGGGTTTAGCTCATATTCTGATTTAGCCCTTGTCACTTTTCATTCATGCATGTGGCGGGCCGGGGTTTGCATTCACCTCTCTGTGGCCAGCAGAGGCCTTCTGGATCTATTTCAGATGCAGACTCTCCCGTCTGAGAGGGACAGCTCTCTTAGCCACAGGCCCGAGATGCAGAGGTAGCGATCTGAATTCTGGGCTTCCAGTCAAGTATTCAGAAAAGGGCACTTGGAAAGCTGCAAAGAAACAGAGCTTCACCCAGGGAAGCAAATGCACTTCTGATTATTTAAACGGAAGCTCTAAGGAGGACGGGAGAGTCAGCGGCGCCAGCAACTCAGCGAGTGGGCTTCGGGCAAATGCACAGAAGCAAACATGAGGCAACGCCACAGCCGTGCCTGGGACGTCTCACCCAGTTCCTCTGCCCACGGCCTGGGGAGCGTCTGCCCCAGTCCTTCCACAGGCCTCCCCCTCCCCCTGCGCCGTCCTCCACCGCTGGTTTCCATCAGTTAGTGAGAACCCATGCCCATGTCCTTAAGAGTGTTTGTTTTTCTTTCACAGCATCAGCTTAGAGCCACTTCATGCAACACTGAGAAGACAAGGCCCCCAGCGGAAAGGGAGTGCACGCCACCTTCCTTCCCGGCCACCTCACCACTTCGTATGTACATTTCTGGCTCTTTGGAAACTGCATTTTCACCAAAGTGTCCTTTAAAACTTTGCGACTCAAGGTCTGATCCATGGACCAGCAACACCAGCAACACCAGCATCACGTGGGAGCCGGTTAGAGCAGCCGACGACTCAGGCGTTGCCCCAGACCTGCCCACGTGGAATCTGCCAAGCCCCGTGGGGGAACACTGTCTCCAAAGGAATGTGAATCCCACAAATCTACAATCTGCCAACAAAAAAAAGACAGAGCAAAAAAAAAAAAGCAAATGCTTTTGCATAGAAAATTCAAATGCAACAGGACATGTGTGGACATACACATCATAACCCTGAGAAAAGCCAGCGTGCTTCACTAAGTGCCAGGCTGTAGTGAATCGTAAGGGCCCCACGTGTATTAGCTCACGATTCTTCACTGCAGCGCAGGAGGTGGGGACCAGCCTCCTCGTGGTGTGGGTGATGCAGAGGCACAGAGAGCTCATGCACCTCGTACACGGTCACACAGTAAATCGTGGAAGAGGCAGGATCTGAACCCGAGCAGCGTGACTTCAGAGGACGAGTGTTTAACCACTGCACTGCACCACCTCCCAGCCGTGCACCTGGACCCAGGAAACAAAACCGCTGGTCCAGGACCTGAAAGCAGCAGCTAGGCTGCTGTAAGCGCCATCATTTCAGGCGCAGTGACGTTTAGAAGCAGGGACCAGTCGAACTGGACACCAAAAAACACTCCGACAGAACGCCCTCGGGCATCATCTGAGGACAGTGAGGCACAGAGGGCATGTGTGGAACCCAGCGGTTTCTTCCAGAGGAGCGGAAATCGAAGGCCGGACCGGTCTCAGCCTCCAGCCCGCTTCCCCGCACGCTCCCTGCCTCTTCCGACCCGCATCCCAATGCTTCAAGGGTTTCCTGACTGTCCAGAGACACCTCACATGCGTCAGATAACAAACGACAGTGTTTTCCTTTCTTAATTTTATGCACAATCCGTGAAGAACCATGCTGCTTTGACACACTATTTTGTATCTGATTTAAAACCTCATTAAGAAAAAGGCTGGGAGGGGGGAGGTGGAGCTCGTCCCCAAGATCCCCAACACTGAACACTGTGGCCCTTCACATCCAGAGTGTGACAGGGACTTCCAGGCGTGGTGGCCAAAGAGCTCTTCCTTCGAAGAAAGTCAGTCCTGCCAGCGACTGACTGTCAAGATAGAATCTTCGTCCGGGCTCTGAAGAGTTACTTACCTGCTGGCGTCACAGCTCCACTCTTGCATTTATAGAGGAGAGCGGGGTAGATGTCCAGACCCAAGTTAGCCTGGCTGCGGAGCTGGTGCCACCTCCTCGGACGCGCCTGCTTTTAACCAAATGGTGCTTTCTGTCAACGGCTAGCACCCACGAGGCCCCTCTCAAGCCCAGCACGTTTGCAGAATGCAGGGCGGGGAGGTCCTAGGACAGACTTCACACGTGCAGGGGAGGCTGCAGCCTCCCTCTTGAAAGTACGGCTTCGCTACCCAGGCGCCGGGCGACTCTCATTTGGAAGCCCGCCCCGGCTGGTGGGAGGGACAACAAAATTCGCTATGCACTTAAAACGCCACCCTGACGACGCCAGCACTTCTTGACTGACCCAGCAGTGCCCTTTCCATAACCTCCACTTCAGAGGTAAGGAAGGAGCCCCAGATCCAACAGGGAAACATGGCTGAGTTTCTTACGACGCATGTGATGTAAACATAAGTCACTTAATAACTGAAATGCCAGAGTGAGATGGGGCAACTCCCAAAGATCAAAACCATGGAGCAGACCAAGCCACCCATCTCCCCGTCTTACCCACGTCCCCCAGCGCTCACGGTTCCAGG